CTCCATACTTGCTTAACCATTTGAAGCATGAACTTCAAAGTGCTTTTTTAGTCATATGAGTGATAAATTATAGCATTTGGATAATTATTTTCACTTCAGAATGAAAATAAATAACACAACTTTACTACTTTGTTCAAATTTTAAATGGCAAGCAAAACTTAAATGCTGCTTATAGGTTGTTTTGCTTTTATAAACGATAACCGTTTCTCTTCCAGTTGGGTAAAATTATATATACACAATTCATAGAAAAATAACATTCAGAAGAATCCTCACAAAATTGCAGTTTCTGTGTGTGTAAGTTGTTTCGCACCTGCAGAAAAGTTACGATACAGATTTTTCCAGTCCCAAGATTTAGGACCCATGGTTTTGTGCTTTGCATTTGCTGTGCTGGTGGTGATTTGCKTTCCTGTTCTTCTGGGTAAGTGTTGCCCTAGCAACTCTGTTATATGACCAAAGTATAACTGGTCTCTGGTTTTCTTTAATCGTTCCTTGACCTTGAGATCACTGTCTAAATTTTATAGCCCTCAATTTTTAGCCAGGGAGTTTATAAGCGCTTTCTGAATTTACTGATTTCATGTTCCAGCACTTTGAGATTCTAAATAACCCTTCCACACTATTTATTCTTTTTTTTCTGTAACGCAGAGAGTCCTCAAGGGGAAGGGGGGAAAAAAAAAAAGTGGGTGAAGACCTTGAATTATTGCTATATGATCAAGGCATTCTAAGAGCTGGTGTCAGAATTGAACAGATCTGTATTGCAAACCTGTCGGAGACAGAAGGAACTTTCAGCGTTAGCTGTTGGGACAGGGTTTCCTCAGGTTCCCTGTGACCCGCGTAGGTGACAGGGTTTCCTTGGCTTTGAGTGCACAAGAGGAGCCTACCAAGGCATGCAAGGTCATGGAAATTGATAGGGCTAAATTATGTAACTGATAATGGAGTTTAGATCARTTCATTCGTGTTAGCTGTGTTAAACAGTGATCCATTACTTCTAGGTTCTCACTGCTAAAATGCTGCTTTCSTGTTGTTGTTTGGTTTGCGGAAGATGGTGAGATATGCACAGGAGTAACAGGAGTCCAGATGTCTCATGAAAGTATTGGGATGATTTGTATCTTGTGCTCACCCAGCAGTTTCCAGAATACATCTATTCTTCATGTCTTTCCTCAGAATGTGGGTTCTTTTTATGACGGTTGGCATATTTTTCTGGCACCCTTGCATATTGATTCCAAAATTAACCATTAAGATATTACTGTAATTCAAAGCAAGGTTAAAGCCAAGTAGCTCCACAGGCTGCAGAACAGAGCGAGCTTGCAAAAAGAAACTTTTTGCATAGCTTAGTGGTTGGATTCTTTGATGCCATATGAATTGTCAAGTTCAACAGAAGCTTTTCATGCCCTTGAGAAGTTCATAGTGCCTCCCTTTCTTTCGTGGAATCACTACTGTTAAGATTTGATCTCTCCTGGTCTAACCATCAATTTGAACAAATTTTTTGGGGAATTAATTTACATGAATATGTCCACTAGATTGAAAAGTTACTGAAGGAAGAATGCACACCTCTCCCAAATGAAATACACCATGTTGTTTGAGGAAATGAAACTAATAATCCCATAGTTTATATTCATACAAGACTGAACTTCGCTACCAGCAAAACGCKGCATTTGTACTTTGTAACATATAAGATGCACAGTAATTAAATGAAAATTAAATGTTCTGTACACTTTTATCTTTATTTGCCTTTTTGGGTCCAGTTACCATCACCTCCTTTCTTTACTGTGCTTAGAATTTTGTTCGTTAAACTATGGACAGTGACAATGTGCAAATTATGCAAGGTTTGCCCTGGCTTAGCTGGCATTTGAAGTGATCCCACTCATCAGTTGAGCACTGAAAAATAGTGTTTTGCAACAGTGCTGGAATGATGGATTACAGCTGCTGCTAAGGAGAGGTTTCTGTGTTTACATAATGAGCTTTGGTTGATGGCTCGGATAGCAGAAAATGACAAACAATTTGTGTTGGCGTCTTGTGTCATTGCGTCTGGTGCACAAATTGTGGCTGACCCCAAAGAAGCTTGGGGTTTGGTATCACATTGACAAGTCTGGAATTAAACCTGACTTTGCTGTAACTCAGTGTTTCCTGCTTTCCTTGCTGAAAATGTGGCTTTTGTAAGCAGCAAAACCAGACTGAAGTGCGTTTGTGTGKTTCGATGGTACGAGCGCCCACGCGCCAAGGCCCGTATAGGGTTTGTTCTTTTGTCGGACGTGCTCACCGAGACCTTGGGATTTTGGTGGAACTGGGCTGGGCTGTATCTTGCTGTGGGGGAACCTGCTGGAAAATGTGTCATGCTCAGGGGCCCGATCGCTAGAAAATAATGTATTTTAAAATACTAAACTTCCCAGTAYAAAAATCAAAAAATATTACTGTTGTCAACTGGTGAAAAGGTCTCTTGTTTTAGGGAGATGAGATTCTCTCCATATCTAGAAGGGCATGACCTTTTTTCCTGCGCTTGATTCTATTAAGAATATTAAATATGACCTTAAATTTAAAGGTTGCTTAAGCTGCAAGAGTTCAAAACATTCTGAATGAGATTCTTTTCAGTTTATTTTGTTAAGCCTTTGCAATAATTGTAAATAGACATTCTTTTACTGAACAAATAGTGAGAGGTCACATAATCCTTTGTGTATATATACGTGATCCTGTGCTTCATTACGAAGGGATATTCACAGGAGAAGAAATTGTAGTGAAAGGTTATCAGAAAGACAGATGTTTAAGAAGCAGCCCCGGTGTAAAAATAAAGCTTGAAGTCCAAGAAAAGTTCAATGTGGGGGACTATTAGGGCATTGTTCCCGACCCACCTCCCTCCTCTCCCCACCCCACCCCACCCGCACCCCAAGCCGCGCGACGACCGTTAGGGCGTGATCTTTCCCCCCCATCTGTGCGCATGCGCGGACCTTTAGCGGCTGCACTCGCGACGCCGCCCCCCCACCACGTCTCTCACGTCTCGCACGTCGCCCGCACCGACCGTTAGGGCGCGGTCGTTCCCTGCCTGTCTTTGCGCATGCGCGGATCGTAAGCGCATTGTTCCCTCCCCGCCCGGCGCGTGCGGACCGTTAGGGCGCGGCCGTTCGTCGCTGCACGCGMGGCGACCGTTAGGGCGCTGTGCCCTCCCCAGCGGCGGAGCTGCTCTCGTGCAAACGGCTCTCGTGTCTCCCATCGTGCTCACCTTTGTCTGGGGTACATGGTTTGTGTCTGGTGTAAAGGTGGTCGAGAGGAAAGACGCCAAAGCACCCGCTAGGCAACAAGTGTGAAGGTGATTTATTCTTCAGTGCAGCTGTGTATTCTCCTTTTAACTGAGCAGAGCTGGTTAAAGTTTTTAAGATTAAGAAATCTTAAGAAATTATGGAAATATATATATATATCTATAAAGCTGTGGTTTGTTTGGGTTTGCAGGGAACTTAGTATCATTTAAAAAGAAATTTAGTGTCATTTAAAAAGGAAGTAAGTTTTGACAGAGTACTGAAATGTTTGCAGTTTAAATTTCTCTGTTACCAGAAATACAGATCAAAACAGAATGAGTGTTTTCATTTGAGTGCTTTAACTATTGATTCACAACAGAAGTGTTGACTAAATCTCTTTGAAACTTCTTACGGGAAAGCCAAGAAAATCAACTTCTTCGCTGTGAAAACATGCAAGAAACAGTCTGCTTTTCCGAACGGTTTTGGTGTTAGTTGTTTGAATGTGTCTTAACAAACCCACAGTGACTCGATGCAGTAAGTATGTTATTTGTGGAGACACAATCTTTACTGACACAATGTAACCTAAGATCGGCTTTGCAAGAAGCCTGTGCTGGGAATTTGGTCTGTATGTTGTAGGAAACCTAGGAAACCCAAGGCAGATAACAGGGAACAGTGTGTGCAGGAATGTGGCCCAGCTGTGCGATACCCCTGTGCAGTTCCAGAGGGTTCAGAAGGCATTTTTTGTTTTACATTTTCCTTTGCATGGAGTGTTTTCTTTCTTTCAGAAGTTTAGGAGGGGCTGAAATAGAATATTTTAGTTCACAAAAGTTTTGTTTTGAATCAGTGCTGCRCTGGTCTCTAGTGAGAGCAAAACAGTATCGACAGTGTTTGCTGCCGAGCGAGGTGACTGGCTCCCCTCTACCGGCTGCTGGCATGTCAGCATTAATCCAGTGCATCCTCATTCAGTTTTGTATTCTTTGCAACATATTATACAGAAACAGGCTAAATTTGTACATCTGAAATACGTGTTCAGCGTAATGCCTCTGCAGCTTCCAGCTTTTCATTTTCATTTGGTCTGTCTGTTTCAGAATAAAATATCTCTTACATTTACATAGAAGTAGTTTTCCTGGAGGAAGTCAGCAGAGAGATTAGAGGAAATTGTCCTATACTTGCACTGACACAGGCATATACATTTTAGTGGTGGAAAGGGGCAGAAAGGGAAATTATTTCAGGTCATCTATGCTCTGCAATGTTTAGCAGTTAGGTAACCATTGCTCCCCAGGTTCAGTAAAAAGCACAGACCAGCAAGAATCCTCTCGCTCTGCTAAATGTTGTGCAGGGTGATGAATGCTGTATGGTGCAGGGTGATGAATGCTGTATGATTTAAGGTTTCTGGTACTGCTGTGTTTGCAGTAGGATTTCCTTTGTCATCTTCTCATGTTTGTTTGAGAAATGATAGAAGTTTGAGAAGCCTCAAATCTATATCAAAGTGTTACCTTTACAACTAATTTCTAGGTGTTCTATAGTCCAGGTGTCTTGGGTCAGGTGCATGGCTATTGAGTTTATACAAGTGACTCTCTATGGACCACTTGTTAGTTTGGTCATTCCTGTCCAAGGAACGAGTTTCTTGTTCCTGCAAATGAACCTCTTCTTTCTCCACCCTTGACACCTTCTCTTACGTTTGATGCAAACCMTAAGGAACAAGCTGACACTAATGTAGTTGTCAGTCAGTGTCTCTATTCAAACACRGTTTTCCTTTCCCTTCCTCTCATACAGGTTGATAAAGTGTGTGGACAGCCCAAACGACAAGAGGGGAACCTGTCGTCAGACACCATAGTGCCAGTGAAGGAAGTGACCGAAACGCAAATGCTCGTGATGGCTCACACTAGTCTGAACAGTAAGAGAAGGTAATAATAAGCAASAGCTGGTTTGAAATAACCTCTGCAGTCCATAGCTCATGATAATGCGTCCTTATAGAACAGTGTTTAAGCCAGAGCCACAGGTGTGCCATCTTGTCTGTGTACTCTCCAGCTGTTGGAGATGTACACTACAAAGATGTACACGTGGTAATATGTTACGGGTCTTTCCAAGAAAAGCTTTTTTTGCTTTTTTGCAAGGTGTGGGTTTTTTTTTTTTTTAGTACAGCTATGCAGGTTTTTATGAACTTGGGTCCTTCTAGTGCAGGTGAGGGAGAAGGGCGTGAAGACTCATTCCCATGACAATAAGTGAATCCTTTGTTTCTCTGGGATGGGGAGAAGGATAGATAATAAGATCCCCTGAGGTCTTTTGAAGTTGCTATGTAAAAAGAACAGCAATGAACCTTGTGCATTTAGACAATCCATCCATCTTGGCTTCCGTTTTTCAACTACATGCTAGTTTGGACACTGGACAGCTGAATTACTGCCTTTCTCCCCTGCCCAGGTATCCTTGCTCCCAGGTATTATGGAGTTTCTTTCACTTTTCCTCCCAGATCTCCTGCRTTGTTGTTATGTAAATTTTAAGTGGGGAGGGAAGGATGTCTTTGCAATGCCACTTATGATACATGAGGAAATTTCAGAGGTAACTGACCATAAAATTGCGTTGAAGTATTTCTGGCCAGTGTGTTCTTCTTAGTAACTCCAACATAAACCTGAAACAACAAGAGGATATGCATCAAAGATTGATGGATGGAACCGTAATTAGTAAGTGGGGAATATTTTAAAATTTTCCTGACTTGTTATAAAACACATGATATGGAGCTTGTACTTTGCTTTTGGAAGAATTGTATAACAGTAAGTACTGAAATACACTGTAAATGATTGCTGTTGTTTGTTCTGACATTTCATCACATGATAACAATAACAAAAAATTTAAAATAACAAAATTTTATAAATATGTTAGGGAAGTAATTGTTGCAATGACTTGTGTAGAATGCTCTTAGAGTGACAGATAACTGCTAGTGGCGATCTAGACTGTGGGAGTAGTTACAGGGATCTCTTTTGGTGCCGTAGCTTCTGGCAATTTAGAAAATGAAGGGCAATAATCTCAGCTGTCTGTCAGATTAAGTACTAGGTCACAGGCTTTTTGACTGGCCTCAGTCCCAGTCTGTTGCTGTATTTAGCAGACCTCTCTTCAACCCACCCTTAATTTAAATGAGATGTGGAATATGACCCTTCAATTTTGCAACATGAGAAGAAAGAAAGAAGAGATGAGCCAGCACAGTCCATGCTGTGGTGGCCCGTTCTCAAAGTCTGACAAAATATTACCAAGCACAAAGAGAAGAACCAGTCTGGGGGAAACAACAAGCAAACAAAAAAACCCTTCTATTATCCCTACTTAAAGATGGGTGCCATTAAACATTTAATGTGAAACAGTTTAGTTGTATGTACATATATATGTTGCAATTGTGCTACCTCTTCCAAGGGACCAGTTACAAAATAAAGACCAAACTACTTTGTCAGTCCTTTTTTTTAAGAATGTGAATTTCAGTATTTCACTTGGTTTCAGCTTCCTGATGGAGCTCAGGTTGCTTATGTATTTAAAACGGGGATGTAAAGCTCCTGAGGAGCTGATTGCTGAGAAGGCTGTTTCTGTGGGTTTCTGAGGTCATTTCCCTCAGCATGACTGGTGTATCTTTTGGGTTGGTGCCTTTCAGGGTCTGGCTAGAAATAGTAGCTTGCTCAGTATTCTCTCCTAAGGTTCTCCTAGACTTTGCTATTCTGCACAACTTGATCATGCATGGTTCCTGAATTTCTGCAGCAACTGGATCCTCTTTTGGGATAATTAAATCATTTTCTGCTCCTTTTACCCTCACTGGTTCTTGCGAGATTTCTCATCTTTATTTTCCTCCACATTCCATTCCCACATTTTTGCTGTGTGCCACGGATAGTGATGCAAGAAGCTGAAACTTAAATGCTGCGTGATCTTGTAGTAAGACTTTTCTTTGAATGTGCTGAGACATGTAGTTGTGTGGGGGTTTTTGTCTTGTTTATTTATTTATTTATTTATTTATTTTTTCCTCTCCATTGCACGATAGGATTCAGGGATTAAATGAAACTAGAAGGATTGCTGTTGCAATCATTTTTTAATGTATAGGTTACTATAACGTATAGTACAGATGACAAGAAAATTGAAGACGTATGATGGTACATGGAATGTACATGGAATGTACAGGATGTCCACAGTAAATTGGAATGTTATTGCTGAGTTCAACACAAATTACCATTCTGGTCAGGATCAGTACTCCTGGCAAAGCTGAACACCTGCCTTTAGCATGTCTGCTGCATGTGGAATTTAAAACTCCTAAGCATAAACTGGATGCAGATCTGTATAGAGAAATAGATTATGTTTATCAAAGAAATATAGCATGATATTTGCCCCATGATAGGAAGAGGCATGCCTTGCAGTGGTGTTTTGTTGGGAATTTTTTATTATWCAGGTCTTTTGTACTTAAATTCAGAGATTCTTCAGAAATGATTGAAGGCAAGGTCATCTATTTTATTTCATATTAATTATCTATTGTATTAGATCTCATATGGTTTTAATAAAATTAAAGTATTAAAGTGATAGGACAGAATAGATTATTAAGGCCAGATACAAATTTACTTGCAATGGAAAAGAACTGAACATTTCTGCCCAACTATCTGACCAAGACAGATGTTTTCAGCTCATCCAAATTTGCCTTGTTATCAACTCTGTGGTTTTATTCATTTATTTATTTATTTTTGGACTGGCCATTTTGGAATCACTATTTCCAGAGTGGTGAGTGACACCCAAGGATCACTACAAGACAAGGCCACTCTCTTTGGGGGCCACACCTGGCTGTAAGCCCCTACCAAGTAGGATGGCAGAGCACCTTTACATGGGGCATCTTCCAGGCTGCTCAGGATGAAGCTTACTCTTTTCAGTAAAGCTACCTGAGTTGGCAGGTATCTTGAAACCCCCTTGCTGGCATGTGTTACTCCAGATATTACCATCATTTCATACACAAATATCAATATAAGAGTGAGCAAAATGTAGTATCAAATAACACAAGTATAACATTGTATCTAGGTGCTAGTGTTGAATACAACATGTAATATTAAATACGGATCCTGGTGCTAAAAAGGGGATTTGTAGTAAATACTATTGCAGAGGGCTCAAATTAGGATTTTTTTTTTTTTTTTTTAAAAAAAAAAAAAAGCTTAACTGTGGCCTTAGGTCCCATCCATCTTGGTTTTTAAGAGTCATTTTCTCTCAACGGTACTTACTGACCAAAAGTGAACAGCCAAAAAAAATTTAATTCACAATATTTAAGAGACAAGGTGTGCTCATTACACCAAAAAATGAATGCTGCTCATTTTGTGTCTCCCTTCCCATGGTGTTCATTTTAAGCTGTTTTCCATTATTTTCTTGTATAGCTGCATATATTTAACAGTTTTTCCCTTTGATATCAGTTATAATAAACTTTATGTTCACCTAAGCTTTAGCCTAAGTTATTTTTTACCTTTTGGCTGTGTACTACAATTTTAGTTGTGCTTTTATTTGAAAATGAAAATGATTGTGAAAAAGAATCTCTCTCTTTTTTTTTTTTTTTGCATGTATTTTTGTGTTGCATTGATATTTTTAATTGGATCTATGCTTTTGAAAAATCTCATGACAATTTTCCTTCTTATTTATTTTCTTATATTGTCCTATGCATGTGCTTGATGAACTTGCTTTCAAATAATTTTTGCTTTTCTCTTTTGTCTTATTTCTTTCCCTCATTTACCTGAATTCCTGCACTTCCCCTACTCCCCAACCTCTCCTGATTGATGCTTATTCTCCCTGGCCTATTCCAGTTCTCTGCCTCTGAAAGCTTCAAAGAATGACAAATCAAGAAGTTTGAAAAAAATCTCTCGGTAAGATTGAAAACCAAGTGACATATTTTGTTGTCTGTACACTTAGTTATCTCTGCTATAAGCTGCTATTTCAGCCCTAATCTAGGAATTGACATGCTCTTGATTAGTGCTTTTATATTACGTGACTATGGTAAACCGTATTTTCTACCTATCATATTTAATTTCATTCTGATGAAAAGTATTTCCCCAGGGTAAGATTGAGTTGGGCACAGAATGCTTGCTCAATGTGCTGAGACACTAATTTGAAATGTCAAAGGCCAATTCAGACTGAAAATGCAAAGGATTTTAAGTTTCTTGCTGTGAGCTGAGTAAGACAAACTTAGGCTTTATTTTTATTTTTATATTTTTATGAGCATCTTTTCCTCAAAAAAAAAAAAAACATTTTAGAAGATTTAAACATCTTGAGCATCTGTGTCATCATCACCTTTGTGTAACCAGTACCTATTCCAACACGTGGGTAACCTTGTGACTGGGCTGGRCTTTTCTACCTAAATACTTAGAGGTTATATTCATTATTAAGCAGCCCAGGTGTAGCAGTTCTTGCTTCCTCATTGAAAGCCGAGAAAGCCTGCTCCTCTTTCTTAAAAGGAGAGCTTTCCTGCAGTGGTAGTGCAAGTTAATTCCTTGGAAGCACGTGGTAATTACCTTATCTAGTGTAGGATTTTGTCACACATGAGAAAGCTGGGTCAGCTTAACACTTCCATGAAAGTATAAAGACTTTCCATGAAAGTCTGAAGTATGAAACTGTAGGGAAAGATAACCCTTGCCTTATACCTTGTATGGTAAGATAAGTCGACTTGAACGTTGTTTAAAGCACTAGTTCTAAAAAGAGTAATAAATCCCGACTGTTCCTGTGGCGAGCTCTATCCAGCTATATCCCTAAGCACGGCTTCAGTGCACTGTCCTCTTAAAGTCTGCCAGACAGAAGCATTATAAATCAGAATGAGTCCTTTGGCCTCAAAATGGACTCTTGAAGGACTCTCTGGGGCAAGTAGATCCTTGATAGCTGCAGTTTAGTTTCCCTGTCTCTTGTTCTCAGTATTTGAAAAATCTTATGCCAAACAGGAGCTTCCAGAGTTCCAGTTCCAGGTAGCCAGTAGTTTCTGGCTACCTCAGCCATGTATATTATAGGTATAATCAGATTATAGTGAGGCAGTGGGTGATCTGCAAGAAGGCATTTTTTCCGTATGTGCATCAGAAACAGGCTGTACTGGACAGGACTTTTGGCTTATTCTCCAAAGCAATGGGCCCAGACTGTTCTTACGGGTCAGGTGCCAGACTTGATGAGATGGRAATTTCTTTGTGCTATCAGAGCGATAGTGATGACGGGAAGTATGTCCTGCTGTTGCTTGTTTGGAGTACTGAATAGAAGATTGCAGGCTTTGTGATCAGATGCTAGCTTTATGAAGCCTTTTTCACTCAGGAGAGTGTTGACAATATTCTTAATTCATCTGACATAGGTTCAAGGAATGGAGAAATACTCGCTTTCGTTAACAGGGAAAAAGTCATCACTTCTTTTAAAGATAGTGCTTTCTCATTTTTTATCTGTTTGTGTAGAGACTGGTGTAAACTTCAAATTTGAGATGTGTAAATAAAATTTCTTAAAACAATCCTTTTGTTATTGTGCGCATTAATACCGGGCTAAATAAGACTGGGTGATAATTAGAATAAATGGAAGGTAACTTCATTGGCTTTTTAGTTTTTGTAAGGGTGTTGACTTTGGAGGGTTTAATGGACAGGGAGACTTGAACCCTAAGTGTACCATCCTGTTGTTAAATGTGTCTTATGCATTGCAGAGAGTTCATCAACTATATGAAGCGATCCCGAACCTTTTATGCTTCTATAGCAGAAAGGCTGTGTGATGGAGATCTGGTGATGAGAGACAGCTCAACTTGCTGGAATGGAGAAGACGTCGTAGAAAGGTAAAGTTAAGAGTAAAAGTTTCCTGTAGAGGTGAAAAATGAAATTTCATATCTTCCTGATGATTCAGAAATGTTACGAGACGTTCTTGTCACTGGATTTCATATTCATAGGGAACTTCATGTGTAATTGAATAGGGGTTTTGCAAAAGTGTAAGGTTCTTTAATGTTGAGGTTTAGGTATCTGTGTTAAATATAGCCGATGATTTTCTTGGAAGGCTATTTTGAAGAATTCCTTTCTTCGGGAAGTGGTTCAGTTAGAAAGGAAGAACACTCTGGTTGCCCAGGCGTCCCTTCTACACTGATGTTTTGAGGTTTGTGTGCAGAGCTGGGCATCCTCTTTAGCTATTATTAGAAAATATGCAACTGCTTGTGCAAGGGTGTTAGAATGCAGTGCAGTGACTGGACTCGTATATTTTTAAAGGCTATCTGTGTCATTTCTTTTTAATATTTCTGATGTAGCACTTTGAATAATGATGGATTTTATAATTACTCTATCCTTATGAAAGCATGTTTTGCAGAAGTTCTTGAAAGTGGCAATAAATACTGTTCTGTGTACATATAGCTGCTAGGAGCTCTGAAGCGTTAAAAGATCTTTCTAGATAGCTACTGCTTTTTTTTTTGTTCCCCTGAATTTTATTACAGCCTTTTCCTGTCACTTGTAGAGTCCAAACAGTAAAATACACTTGCAGCATCCCTGGACTACCTTTTTTCCTGTCACTTCTCTTATTTTCTATAACATGAGGCAACATTGCCCCAAGGTACTTGAAACATAATTGTCTGCTACTATCACTGTCAAAAAATACATCAGTTTTTTTGTGAGAGCTGGTTGGAAACTTGCCAGTAAATGTTGTCAAAAAATGCCTTTTGGTTGAAATAAAGACATTCCATAGGATTTTGGGTTTTTTTTTGTGATATTTTGTATTTTGTGTATATTGTGTATTTTACGGTCTCTAGTATTTGTAAAGGCTAAAGTTCTAGCATTCCATTTTCATCAAGACTGTTTCAAGCTTTGAAACAGTTTTTGAAAAGTATTTTGTAGGAAGTTGTGAAGTAATTCCTATTTGGAATTAAAAGGAATGCAGCAATGACTAGGCTCTCCAGTTTTAAAGGACAACTTTGCTTAGAATTCTTATGTGTAAATAATAACTTCAGCTTAATTATGTCTGAGATGTTCAGAGATTAACGTGTCTTAACATATTCAAAGGTAACTTGAAAGGTTAGTATTTTCRTGGCTACTGGTATTAAAGCTAATTGTGTATGTGAGGCATATGTTTAATGCTTTGGGCAACACTGAGATTTTCTAAATATTAATGTATTAAACTTGTACTGTAGAAGTAGCAGAAAGGGTTTCTCCCAGCTTTTATGTGGCTGTTCCACAGACAACTTTTTTTTTAGGGTTTGAACTGTAGGAATCTTTGTCTAGGAAGATCGATCTCCTCAGCTAAGCTCATTCTAGCTTTATAATCAAGTTCTCTTTTCTCCTTGGGCATAGTAGTTAAACAAGACTTTCTGATCCCAGATCTCTGTCTCATAAATAGCAAACTAGTGTAATGCATTGCCAAAGGAATTTCACCAAAGTCTATCTGGAGGTTTTCCACTGAAATCAGATTTGCTTCCATGCACAAAACTCCCCTTCAGAACCTTTTATATGTGTGTGTACAAACACACACACACGCTGTAAATATCAATAGGCTTTTTGCGAAATCTTGCCTGCAGTAGAGTGACTTTGTCAGAGACTGTTCCTTTTCTGCTACAGGAGAAAGGAGAGGAGATGGGGTCTCACAAGCACACTTTAGAGGTATGTCTGTGTACAATAGAGTAATCCTTATGTGGAAAAGCACTTTAATGGAATGGTGCATTTGAGAGTACTATTTTCAAGTTACATCATGATTTATTTTTTCTGTTTGCCTGGCTACTTATCTTCTTGTAACTTTGATTTCAACAGAGATGAAACAATTGTAAATATTGAACAAATGAGGAATAAGCTGTACATGGAAGAACTAAAACACTGCATGTAGTTGCTGTTCATTTTTGCTAGTGTAGTTGGCCCTGCCAACCTCAGGCACTGGATACATTTTCCTCCTTTCCATGGCCCTTCCATGAGTTTTCAAAAAAGGCCTGATTGCTATCCCCAAAACTGACAGCTTCAGGTCTGGAGTGTGGAAGTGTGACGTCTTCAGCAGCAACCACAGCACTTGCTTTTAGATGTCAGCAACGGCTCCCTGCTTGTATGTCAGCTGGACTTCATTTTAAGATCCAGAAACAAAGGAGATGTCCTAGCCTTGCTGTGCTTTCCAGGAACTCTTCTGCAAGGGGAGTCCTTATGAAAGCTCGTATAAACATTCCCCACTTGCTGTGACATAAATGGATGTGTGTCTTTAGCATGATCACTCCTATGACGTAAGCCGTTGGTGTTGGGTCTCAGGATTTTTGAAAGTCACAAGATCTGTTTGACTCATGTTAGAGCGGAGCTGTTTGCATGTAGGGATGGTACCACGGGTGCGTGGAGTATTGAGTTGCTCCTACATAAAGTATTACAGTTGAATAAATTGAAATTATTATGTAAGTTGAAATTTTGGGGTTGGCAGGTGGTATTGAGAACAGTGAGATTGCAGCAACCATTTCACATCTTTTAAAGGAGTGAGTCCTTGTAATTACGTTGGTGCACATGGCTATTCTAAAATGCACACCATTTCTATTGTGACACTTAAGCTTAAAATAGCTTGAGTCATGTATGCAGTTGAAAAGTGTCACTTGGTAAGGGAGAAGAAAACTCAGTGACCGGCTTTGTTAGCTGTGGCAGATGCTTGCAGTCYTTGAGTAAAGCCACTTACAACCAGGTGCTGAAATAGACTCTTAGGCTGTCTGCAGTACAAAGTGGTGTGCACAGTAGACACATGTTTGTGGAGTGAAACAGATGGTGCTGATAAGCCAAAGCCCATGCTCTCTGCAGTTCAGAGGTTTTGTTTTGGACTAGCTCTCAGCTGGTCTTGTGGAGCACTGTTGGCATCCATAAATATTATCTACTACAAAGTTAGTCTATGGTGTGACGGTTTTGGCTATGCACTTCTCTTCCGGCAGTTTTGGGCAGTGAGCTTCTGAGCTGTGAGGCCGAGCTGACTTGCAGGCTTCCAGCTTTCTGAAGAGGTCAGCAAAAATTTCTGTCCCCAAAGCTGAGCTAGTCTGGCTCTGGGAAGGTCACAGCAGGTAGTGATATGGCCGCAGGTGGAAATGAGAATCCAAGCTCATGACTACTTTCAAAGCTATATTTTCCATTTCCAAAAACAAAAAACCTAAAACAARAAAACTTCAGTCTTCAGGTAAGTCAGTTCTGTACAAAGCACAGTTGTATAACTGTTTCTTAGTGCAAATCCAAATCATGGCCAGCATCTTCATATGGGTCTCAGCAAAGGGTCATTGAGACCATTGCAGGTTATGACAGCGCAATAAGTTTAGAATCCTTTAGTAGTTGTTGTTATGTGATACAAAACTGTGGAAAAGAGTGGTGGTAGCTGTATCCTGAAGAGGAATAAGAAAGAGATATTACTCTGTGTGCACATAYAGCAGGATTACTAGCTGCTCTTCAAGTCACCTGATTATTATTTTTCTGCACTCAGAGGAAGGGAAGGTCCGTTAACAGAATTGATTGAAGTTGGTAATTTCAGAGTACTTTTTAAAACTTCACATTCACAACTGAATGAAAGGGGAAATAGGTTAAATGACGCATACTGTCTATTTTTTTAATGTCCTAACAAGTCTGATTGTCTTGTTGCATTTTTAACTCATTTAACATTTTAACTGTTTTAAGTTAACTACTAGTTTTATTAGAACTCTAAAGAGCTTTGGATGAGTGAGTATCCAGAGAAATGGAGAACAGCTGTAATGGTTATTGTAACCGAGCTCATTAAGTCCAGAGAAATAGTAGATTGTGTCGGGGAGAAATGAACATTGTTAGGATTTTTATGGTGTGCCACAATTATCAAAATATTTCCAAAATAAATAAAATGTTTCCGTAAAACCAGATGGATATTCAGTGCTTCATCRTACTCTCACTAGATCTTACAAAAATATTTTCTAACTATTTTGGTGTTAAATCTAGTATCTTGGACCATACTTATTTCTTTGAAATAAAGGATTCTGTTCTTGTAAAAACAGAATTGGGAAGTACATGTCTTAAAAATCAATGCTTTGCTTTAGATGAAAAACTCCATTACACAAACAACATATAAATAAGAAGAGATCTTTGTTAAAAAGTCTTCACTGTTAGCACCTGAATTTAAGACTATTTATGATATTTTTCACCCATCACCAAAAGCAAATTAGTGGTAATTTTTGTTTAGATATTAAATTGGAGGACAAATAAACCTGGAAAGCTCATTCTTTCAGGTATCTATTTTGTATCTGTTCAACTCTATTTCGAACACTGAGTGTCATGTTTCTGTTGGTAATTGTTTATTGCTATTAGAAAACTGTTGTCTGTTTTGTATGCAGAATTTAATGAGAACTGCATGAGTTTCATTTCTCAGAATACTTTTGAGAAAAAGCATCTTACATACTGCCTTTATTTCAGAAAAGGAGGAATAAAAATATAGTTAAAAATGCAAATAAATTGTGTATTATGAGTTTAAAACTTGCAATTTCTTCTGTAGTGTTCTCACCTGCTCTTTAGCTCATTGCCTCACATCTGAGTGGTCTCCGTTTTTCAAAATTAAAGAAACAAAAGCAAATGCTCTCCCCGTTGCTGCAAATTTACAACTGTAGGCAAAATTAAGAATTATGACCATATGCAAAATATTTTAAAATACGGAAACAGTGAAAAAGGAGATGACAAGTGGATAATTTCTACTGCTTATTCCTATGGATTTTTTCCCCATCTGAAGCAAGTAAAACATTTTGACAGACCAGTGGTTGTCCACCATAAACAGCTGTTTTTTTAGTTTTGTTTTCTTAACCTTTTGTTGCTGTATTTTCTCTGAACTAAAGATCTTCTTGTGTGTGTA